TATTATTATTATTATTATTATTATTATTATACTAACAGGTATCAGATCTTGCTGTGTAAAATAATCTTCCTGAGAGGTGTCACTTGTGATGCAATCTGTGTGGTCCACAGTGAATGTATTCCTGACAGCAACAGGTGATAAGAATCAAAGGATCCCATAGGAAATGCATGCAGGTCATTTTTGACCCACTTATGGAAGCTTGGGGTCAAAATACAAAAACTACAATTTCTTAAAATGTATAACATTTAAATAAAAAATTTGAATGGCATGATATCCAAAACAGGTTTTTTGAGGAATAGCTGGAATATGAAATTATGTAAAATTTAATTACAAAGATACTTCAAGAAAACCACCTCACCGGGTCAAGAAGACCCACTTATGTATCTAAGGGTTAAGAAAGTGCAGGACTTTTCCTTCTGAGACTTCCACCGTTGCAGAAGCAGAAAGAGGCGGACACACAGGAGGATCTCTCTTTCACCGCTGCTACTATCTTACAACCTGGGAACTCTGTATTGTGGCTCCCCCCTCAGTGTTGTTGATAACAATGGATAGTTGCTCGGAAACAGAAAACCACCTCCTGCAGTCCAAGGGCAAACACCGCAGTAACCGATAGCTCTGGAGGAGGACGGCCACTTTTTGCCTCGTCCATGGAAACAGACCCCTGCTGCTTTCTGTTCACAAGAGATACAGAGAAACAGGACTCCTCTTGTTGTCATCCAGCTCCGTCTACACAGAACTAGCATAAATAAAAAATAGGATTATAATCACACAAAACATGAGAAAACTAATTCTTTATTTATTCTATTATTGCCCGAAATAAATGAATACTTTGTTATTTTTGTTATAGATCGCATGCAACTAAATAATCATGCTTAATTATTTTTGTTTTATTTATTTGTATTGCCTGAAATACAATAATCCTATTTTATTATTATTTGTATTATTATTATGTTTTTTTTGTATGTGGCCCTCCATAACCCCCCAACAAAGGAGCACACTATATAATAATTAACATATATTATGCATTGTTTTAAATCTATTCAGTGTGTTATACACTTTACTTTATGACCGCTTTGAGACCAATTTCTACGTGCTATAGTCTATTTTTTGCAGTGGAAGAAACTTACCCTCGACTGTAGGTCATGGGTCAAAGGTGAAAGAGTGGGCTAATTGTGAACTTCACTTTGAGCTATGTATTACCACCCTGTTGCCTATTTCTATTTTAGATTATCCCTAGTGTCTCCGAAACCAATCTTCTTCCAATACCTTACTACTCACCCACCCTCACAACCTGTTGTTTACGTGGACAGGAAGACCACAGAGTGACAAACTGGTGATAATACGTCCTTGTAATCTCCACATTCCCCTTGTTTTAGATGTTTATCCTTGAAGGCAGCAGAGCATATGGCCTCAGTAAAGTGCAGAGAGGGCAGGAATTGAAGGCTTAGGAATCATTAACAGTTTAAAGAAAGGAAACAGATTATTTTTCACTCAGAGACCCTGCAGCCTGTGGAGCTGAAGTCAGTCAGTAAGTGTTTCTGCTGCAGTTCATCAGTCTCTCTCTGCCAGACCTTCAGCGGTTCAGCCGGTCTGGATCATTCAGTAATTAGGTTAGCAGCTCAGCCCAGTGATGATCCCTCATTTAGTGTAAAAGGTACTTTGTCAGTGTAAGGAACTATGGGTCGAGATTCTTATATTTACTATGGATACTGATACTCATTACCTTTATATGTTAATATGTAATCTAGGGTTGGAAATTATATTTATAGACGGTGGTAATCATCTTTCATCTTAAAAGTGCTGTACAAAATGAAAATAAAAAAGTGAGTAATAATAGGTTGAACATTAAAATAAACACAAGCACTGAAAGACTAAGAAAATATATAATGCCAAAGAAAGATATATGCGCTTAAAAATAAAAAATGTTGAGAAGAAATTTCGAAACAATAACATAACACATTTTTTTATAAAATCTATAACATTAAACAGCATAGTATCAAACATCATGTCTCAAAACAGAGCAATAGATCCAAATAATACAATTTGTCCGTCCTTTTTCTCTGAAAGAATATAATTTTAAAGGTATTTCTGGTTTTATAAATTGAATATTTTGAACATTTTCAAAAACAAAAACATAAATCTTTGTAAATTGAATATTTGTGTATTATGTATTCCCAAAAAATTCCAAAAAAAGTCCCATTTCTTTTACAAATATCTCCTATAATCCAATATTATTTGATTGATTGTTAATAATCATGTGTGTTCTAGAATCCTAATGTATACTGACATTCATCAAATAGAATAAAAATAAATACATATATTTTAACATGTAAAAATGTATTGAGATGAATGTGTTATTGGGTTAAATATTATGTAGATTTTCTTTCATGCAATTTCTTTTTAAATGGGTTGTGGGATTAGAAACCCATAACATTTGCAGCATTACAGCTGCTCCATCGTCATCAAATCTTGATTGACCGACGTCCAACCAATCAAACAAAGGGGAACGCTCCACTTGACCAATCATAACGAAGAGTAGGAGGGACCTGACGGTACCAATGAGGTGTTCAAGGCTCTGCCGTACATGGTTATCGGATAAAAAAAGGATAGCAGAAAGTTTCGGCTCATGAAACTATCAGAATGAATGGGACAACATACTCCAATTTTGACAATCAAGAACACGTCTTGAAATTAGGAGAGACGTTTGAGAAACACCCTAAAAGTGGCTACCATACGGTGCGATGTAAGTGGGATTTTGAATCTTGTCTTTTTACAGTAGCTAACAGTAGCATGCTAGTTAGCTTCGTGGCTATACAATACATAGCTAACAGTGACATGCTAGCTAGCTTTGTGTCTATAAGATACATAGCTAACAGTAGCATGCTAGTTAGCTTTGTTGCTTTAAAATACGAAGGCAGCTGTTTGACATTTAGACAGATTTTAATAGCCTTGTGTCTTTGTTGAATCCACCTTCCCGTTTCAGTAAGTTGACAGTTTTGTGTCTTATTTGTCGTCTTAATACGTTTGTTAACGTAACTATTAGAAGCCGTTGATGCTCCAGCTGTCAAAATGTAAGCTAATGTTAGCATTGCGTCAATCGGTACACTACCGCCATCTGGTGGTGACGGTACACAACTACAGCATAGAGGGACCCACTGTCGTTTTGTTTATATTTGTGCAACTGTTGTTAATATAACTACACTAATTATGTATAAATTGTGCAAATGCTTTATGTTCTTTTACAGATGACTTCAAGCCAGCCTCCATCGATACATCATGTGAAGGAGAGCTTGAAGTGGGCAAAGGAGAGCAAGTCACTATTACTTTACCCAATTTAGAGGTCAGTAATTGATGAGCATTATACATTTGTGTTTATTGCTTTGGCTTCCATTAACAAATTATCAACAATTGTATGATATTTAGAAAATCTAGTAATAACATTTTTTGGTGTTCTGGTCAAAACCCTCTGAGGGAAACTCTCTGGGACTCTGACTTATGACTTCATAAACGGTTACAATCCTTCCTGTGTTATTTAAAAATGTTAGGGTTCAAGTGCTCCAGTGACGGTCTTCAAGGGGTCCAAGAGGCCGTATATGAAAGAATGCATCCTCATTGTGAACCATGACACAGGAGAGTACAGACTGGAGAAACTCAACAGCAATATAGCTGTGAAGAAGACCAGGTGGGTTAAAAAATTACATTCAATGTATGTTATTACTGTTCTACTTTTTGAGACATTTGACCATCTGTTATTTGAATACAAGTGTCTTCATAAATGTTTACATCTAAAAAATAAAGCTAATTTACAGATTAAATATGTTTTTAATGAGGTGAAAATGAGAACATATCAGAAAAGCGACACAATAAAACTATGACTATGTCCTTGTTTGTGTCAAAGTGCTGTACAAAGTTAAAAAAAAGAAACACAAGCACCGAAAAATAAGAAATTATAGAATGCCAAAGACAAATATATGCGTTTTAAAAAAATGTAAATCAATGTTTCCAGAAGAAATTTTAAAACTATTTTCTTGTACAAAAAAGCATATTATCAAGTATAACCAAAACAGAGCAATAAATCCCAAATAATGCTATTTTGCCGTCATATTTTTGTCAAAGAATACCATTTTAAAGGTATTTCTGGTTTTTCAAATGTTCAAAACCTTTTGGGTTCACATTTTATGGTACCAGATTTTCAGCAGATGGTGTAAGAAACATTGTACATGCCTTTGCTTACTGTATATGTATCTGGTGCATTCCCAGGGCTGAGGGCAGCAGTAAGATCCAAGCTCGCATGGAGCAGCAGACCAGTCGCCTGAAGGAGCAGCCGAAGAGCAGCAGCAGCAGCAGCAGCAGCGGCAGCAGCAGCAACAAAATCTCCACCAGCTCCAAGAGTTCTCCTCCCAAAGAGAAGACCTCCCCGGCGTCTCCCATGGATGACATCGAGAGAGGTAACGTGGTGTCCGGCAAAATATCTTCCAATGTAGGGACGTTCCTGAGCGTAAATGTTGATGGTTCAAGCTAATTATGTTATTCTGCTTAAAGGTCACCTATTATGCAAAATCCACTTTTTCATGTCTTTTTATACACAAACACATTTCTGTCTGAAAATGAGCTGATCAGATTTTGGCCACTTTGTGATGTCATAGCGATGTTTTGGCTTGTGTAACCATTAGCCAATCAGCAACCAAGGTAACCCCCCCCCACCTTATCACCTGAATCTCCTCCTAGAGCTCCATTGTGTTCTTTTTAACCAAATCTCTCTCAAAGGGGCGTGGGGAGGGGCTCCTTATTTTCATCTAAAGTAACAGACAGAGAATCAGCACTTTGGAAACAGGGCTGAAACAGAGGGGATTATGGGTAATGCTGCAATGATCTGTTTGCTGTTTCAGCCAATCAGAGACAGGTTCTGGATATATCTGAGACTTATAATATATTGATGAAAAACAGTATGATAGGGGACCTTTAAGTCATTGATCTTATTTCTTTATCTCTCTTTCCTGTAAATTGGGATCACAGTCACTATTTCCTTCATCTCTGTTTGCCTGTGATCACAGAGTTGATGGCGGAGGTGCGGGTCATGGACCAGCTGAGCAGCGGCGACAGCTCCTCAGACTCCAACAGCTCCTCGTCCTCCAGCAGCGACGACAGCTCCAGCAACAGCGACTCTGATGACGAGCGGACTTCTGCAGCACCTCCCCCCCCGGCTCCAGTTAACCCCAGCATGCCCAGTATGCCCAGCATGCCCAGTATGCCCAGTATGCCCAGCATGCCCAGTATGCCCATCATCTCCACCAGCACCACGAACAACAGTCGCCCACAGGAGAGTGGAGGAGGACTCATTAACACTCTCAGTAAGTACTCGGCAGCAAAACTATAAAAGTCAGTTTGACTCTTTCTCAGCCAGACGCGTCTTTATCTTATCAAGCTTTTTATAAAGGTAACAGTGACAACAATTTTCAGTAAGTAAGAGGGGAATGCAGTGTCTGATGTGTGGGAGATTTAACATGCCGTCTGAAATGTATGCTAGGATAAAATAACTGGTGGGGGAAGCTAATTAATATATTTCAACAACACCATTTTATTTTCGAAAGATAAAACACTTGTAGACAGATCAGTTGGTTAAAGGGGACCTATCATGCAAAATGCACTTTTTGATGTCTTTTATACATAAAGATGTGTCCCCGGTGTGTCAGGGAACTCACGCAGCATCAGAAAACAAAACCCTCTCTCTTTTCCTCCGTACCCAAATCTCTAAAAACGGGGGAACAACGGAGCTGATCCAGATTTGCGTCCGATATGACATAATATCTGAAATGTGGACCCACGGCCCTATCAGAAACGTTGCTATCAGAAACAATGCACAACTGTTTTGGATGTAATATGGTCGGTGTTTACATTAGCATCGCTAACACTCAGAGCTAACCTGTACTGGAGAGCATGTGTGTGAAGAAGCAGGAAATAAAAAGGAACTCACCGTGGGTGTTTCTCAATGTCAAGTAAAGCTGCTCCAGAGCCACTATTTCAAGTATGCTACGTCATCGAGTGCCGCCGAAGGACTGTTCCAATGTCTAGCATACTTGGAATTCTACCGAGCCCGGCGTACTTCGTAGCGAGAAATTTTGAGGCTGTACATGTGTAGACTCCGGTCTTAAAATACCCACAATGCTTTGCGCACGGACCAATTTCCCCAAATCTGTGGCGGAAAATGTAAGGCGGGGCCTCTCATATGACGCACACTTGCTAGCCTGCTCCACTCTTCGTTTTCCGAATGCCAGGAAGTATTCTTGCCTCGCTTCTGAAGCAAGACGCTNGGCAATCTGTCCAGGCCCTGAGGCAGCAAAGCAGCCCCAAACCATGATGCTCCCTCCACCATACTTCACAGAGCACACCAACATCAAAACCTCATCCCAACTGTGAAGTATGGTGGAGGGAGCATCATGGTTTGGGGCTGCTTTGCTGCCTCAGGGCCTGGACAGATTGCCATCATCGACAGAAAAATGAATTCTCAAGTTTATCAAGACATTTTGCTGGAGAACTTAAGGCCATCTGTCCACCAATTGAAGCTCAACAGAAGATGGGTGATGCAACAGGACAACGACCCAAAGCACAGAAGTAAATCAACAACAGAATGGCTTCAACAGAAGAAAATAAGCCTTCTGGAGTGGCCCTGTCAGAGTCCTGACCTCAACCCAATTGAGATGCTGTGGCATGACCTCAAGAGAGTGATTCACACCAGACATCCCAAGAATATTGCTGAACTGAAACAGTTTTGTAAAGAGGAATGGTCCAAAATTCCTCCTGACCGTTGTGCAGGTCTGATATGCAACTATAGGAGACGTTTGTTTGAGGTTATTGCTGCCAGAGGAGGGTCAACCAGTTATTAAATCCAAGGGTTCACATACCTTTTCCACCCTGCACTGTGAATGTTTACATGGTGTGTTCAATAAAAACATAAAAACATATAATTGTTTGTGTGGTTTTAGCTTAAGCAGACTGTGTTTGTCTATTGTTGTCACTTAGATGAAGATCAGAACACATTTTATGACCAATTTATGCAGAAATCCAGGTAGTTCCAAAGGGTTCACATACTTTTTCTTGCAACTGTATGTTGCTCTCAAACTAAATGAATACAACTTTGTAATATGCCTAGAGGAACACTGACTCATGTTATCTAGTAATGACACACACACACCTACACACACACACACACACACACACACACACACACACACACACACACACACACACACACACACACACACACACACACACACACACACACACACACACACACACACACACACACACACTGTGTATTCATTCTGTTAACCCTTTACCTCTCCTGTCAGGTTTTATTTCAGAAACTGGCATGGCACCACTGAAGGAGAGTCTCCAGTGTGGAGGCACTGCATCAGTAAACTCAAAGGAGGACTCAGCCCCAAGAAAACTCCAGAAGGAACTCCCTTACTGGACGGGGCCTCTCTCGACTACCTGTTTTCCCAGGTGAAAAATAGCAATAAACAATAAAATATATACATATCTTACATTATCACAGGAGTGTTTTAAGCATGGCTGTAGCCTGTGTAAATTATATTTTGTACACCAAACAGCAAGACAAATTGGAATCCACCCAAGCATTTATTTCTTCTTTTTAAAAGTACATGTACTGATCATTCCGATTAAGAGCTCAAACCTCACACTTCAGTTTCAAAACATCAACAGCTGAGAGGAAATGTAACAATACCAGGAAGTGCAGCTTAAAGTTCAGAATTAGACAGTCTCGAGCCACTGTTGTCGATACGTTATTTTAAGCCATAAACATACAGAAAGGTCTGAAAGAAGTTTTAACTCTTTCAAATGTTTGTTTCCTTACCCCAATATAAACCTAATTTAATTTGTTAGATCTCCAAAATATAAGAAATCCTTCTGCTTTTTCCAAATAATGCAGTCTTCAATTAATTTGGTCATCAGTTTTTGGTCAGTCAAAACAATTATTTTAACTTGTTTATCTCTATATGCGTTTGGTGTATCTCTGTAAAATATAAATACTTTTTTCTTCCCCAGGGCCAGCATGACTTTGTGAAAGGCGTGGTTCCACTGAGGATCTCTCACTCAGAGGCAGACCAACACGAGATAGAAAATGAATGTTTGGGCATGGCTGTGCTTGCCATCACCTACTACAACATGAACATGACCGCAGATATGTCCTCACCCACTGCTTCCCATGAAATCAGGTAAAACATTATTTTTGATAACGATTCCATAATCAGCATGTATGTAGATTACACAATCATGTAAACGGCGGCCTCCTCGTGGAATCAAGCCATTTAGCTCTCGCAGGATGTTGTCATTTAAAAAATTAAAACGGGTCCTTAATTAATTAAGTAAAGGGAGGAAGGAAGCTGATCCCATTATTTTTGACATTATAAGGTACCTGTATACAGTCACTTCCTGCTAATACCAATGCACATGGTTTAATAAAAGTTGTCTTTTAATATTGAATATCTTAGCTTTGGTTTTTCATCTTAAGGAATCTTTCCTTTTGAGGCCAGAAAGAAAATTGTCCAAATATCTTTTAAATGTAATTAAATTACATTTATGGGATTTATATGGTTGCAACTTCATCTCTACTTGGAAAAACAGGTCCCACTGCAATACATTTAGTAAAAGTACAGGCTCAGAAACTCACCAGTGTTATTGTTTTAATGTCCCCATGGTGAACTCAGAGCTTGGTAAGACTAGGCATGGAATCGGTTGCAAAACATAATTTAGATCTTAAAATAGCATCCACATCTAAAATTGATATTGGCAGCCTTTTAACCCATCCTTATCCTCAGATAAGTGCTCTGTTCACATGCACATGTTGTTCCAAAAATCTGCTAGTTGCAAACAAAAGTCTAAAGAAAAAGTTGAAAGAACATAAAGGCACACAAAAACAGTTTTACTAACACAGGAAGTGAAATACCCGCTTATTGAGGGATAGTCCTTCATCAATAGGTTCTAAGAAATCTTATTTTATTTTTCCTAATGTCCAAAACACTTTTAAGATGTACTTAATTGATCCCAGTTTGGGAAATGTTTGCGTTGCAGCAGCATAAAAAGAAAAGGCATTAGAGAAATTAAAAGACTAGAAATAAATAATTCAAAATGTAAACATCTCAAATAGAAATAAAATAGCATTAGAAAAAAGTAGAAAATATACATGTTGAAATACTAATATACGATATTTTGTTTTAGAGTATTTTTGCTTTTACAAAGCATTGGAAGTTAAACATCTCTGTGTTCACCCCTCCAGCTACAAACGTTTCATCCCGGAGTCGCTGAACCTCAACATTAAGCGGCGCAACTTCCTGACACGCATCCGCATCAACAACGTCTTTAAGAAATTCCTCAATGAATTCAACCAGCGCACAATGAAGGACAGCAACATCACGCCGTACGACCTGAAGATCAAGTACCTGGCCACGCTGGAGGGTCTGACCAGCGGGCTGGGCAGCGAGATGCAGGAGCCCCTGTCCCTCAGTGTGACCCAGGAGGGAGATCTCCTCAATGGAGGGTACAATGGTAAGATTTCATGAAGATGATTTAAAGGTGTCCTATCATGCAAAATGCACTTTTTGATGTCTTTTATACATAAATGTGTGTCCCAGGTGTGCCAGGGAACTCACAAAGTGTCAGAAAATAAAACCTTCTCTCTTTTCCTCCGTACCCACATCTCTAAAAACGGGGGTACAACGGAGCTGATCCAGATTTGCGTCCGATATGACGTAATATCCGAAATGTGGGCTGGCTTTACACCCATAGCCCTATCAGAAACGTCGCTATCAGTAACAATGCGCAACGTGCTTTGGATGTAAAATGGTCTTTGTTTACATTAGCAAGCATCGCTAACACTCAGAGCTAACCTGTACTGGAGAGAGTATTGTGTAAAAAAAGCAGGAAATAAAAAGAGAATCAGCGTTTCTCTAACAGGGCTGAAATAGAGGGATATGAGGGATGTCTGAAATGCATAATCTGTTTGCTATTTTGAGCAAAACACATCATAAATATGTTATTTATATATTTGTATATATCTGATAGCCTAAAAATAGCATGATGGGAGATCTTTAACATAATTTAAAGCTCCTAGGCACCATTCCAGGTTTGTGGCATGCAACAGCTCAGTGTAGGTTTTTGTTCAAGAAGGAATTTTACAAGTACTATTACAGGAGATTATAGATCGCTAAAAAAGGAAACTATTTGTTTACCAAGATTATCTCCGTCAGAGTTGAAGACACAGTATAATAACTATGGAGAGAGATTGATAGAATGATCAGGATTACTATTTAAAATATTAAGCATGATGAGAAAAAATACAGTTTCTGTGGGATATTCTTTGTGTGTATTGAACAGATTATATAACAACCCTAATCAGCGTTTCCGCCAGGGAGCTCGGGACGCCCTGAACGTGGACGCCCTGAACGTGGACACCCTGAATGCAAGCTGAGGGCATCTAAAAATATTAATAATTGAGAGAAGATCGAGAGCTTTTAACGCTTGAAATGACAAAAAGGAAAAAGGACAAGGACATCCCTCTGTTGGAGGGGCAAAGGAATCTGGTGGGATTCTTTTCGGAGTATTGAAGATCGTTTCCCCGACATCGAAGGTGCCTGCTACAGGACAACACGGAACGTGCGCGATTTGGACGCGATGAGTGGGGGGGTTTTAGTGGATGTGAACCCACCAAGGGGACTGTGTGGCCACCTGGTTAACGTACATATTTTCTGCGGGTGTTTCCACGTAAGACGGCCTAACTATCCAGGGGAAATTCGCTCCTGAGCAAACCAAGCCACATCTCACCGTTCCCAATACATACTTACGTCGTATTTCACGAGCTCAACTGACCGGCGAACTTGATCGATGCGCTCGAAGCGGGGTAAAGGACTACGGAAAAGATCGCTCACAAAAGTCTCCGTCGCGCCTACTTGAGACCACGGGAGGCGTCGAGCCTAA